TTTGATACCAGGGAATCAAACTCAGGACCTTGAGCTTGCAAGGCAGGCTGCGGAACCACTGAGCTAAATGCCTGGCCCTCATAACTTCAACTTCCAACTTTTGACTTCACAATGATGCAAAAGCATACACACACAACCACTGTTTTCCACTTTCAGTTCAGGATGCACATGAGTGAATCACATGAGATACTCAACATGTTATCCTGAGCACATTTCAGGTGGGCTGGCCTAAGTTACGAGCTATTGACTATAACCCTATGGTACGTCACAGAGCACCCCAACTGGCCAGCCATTTGCGACATTTAGTGGAAAATATCTCAAGTTTCTGTCCTCATGTACTCAGAATCCAAGCACAAGCTTGTTCTCGTTTAAGAACAGTCCCAGTCATTTCTCAGTCATGAGAGCAAGTACAGCAATGAAGCCCTCCCCACCTTGAGAAGTTCAATGAGCCTGCACAACGCCTTCACCGAGGTCTTAGTCATTGGCTTCTGCGTGGACACGTAGAGATTCATTGTGGTCTTGATAATGGTACTAATACTATACGCATATAAGAAGCCCTGAGAAAGAAAGGGGGAACACTTAATATAAACACAAGGAAAGATTTCACTTCTCTAAGACTTCATTCTGTATAATGTTATTCCTCAACCTGCTAACAACTATTTGTTTTCAAAGCCAGCTCTTAAGATTTCATAATATTCTTCCTTGCAGGGATAATGTGATATACTGCTAGTTGTTTCAAAGCAGCCCTTGAGGTTTATTTAGAATCACATACTAGATACTTAGTACTTTTCATACTACAATATACAATCATTCTTTAAAAATCTTTCCATTTAAAAAAAACCTTCAGAGAAATGATGGCAGGGTAGTATCTATTCGCCCTTATCTGCCAGGGAGAAAATAAAGACCCCCATCTGTTGCCTCTTAGGGTAAGAGCTAAGGACTTTTAAGGAGTGAGGAATCAGGAAAGGAGAAGGAGCTGCTTTCTGACCAGTGTGGGGTCTGGAAGGGAGTGACAAGCCGTAAGCTGCTGTGTCCTTTCCTCCTCACTCAGACTCATCCTCTCCGGACTACCTGCCTGCTAATCAGACCTCTCTCCTTCCAGCTGGTAATTCAAACTCTCCTCCTCTTCTAGTCATGAAGGAACCATAAGTCTTGCAAGGTTTTAAAAATGCAACGCTGTAAGACTCAGGGAAACAGGAAAAAAGACTACTACTACTACTCACATATTTTCACTTAACCTAAAAGGGATGCAAGGAAAAAGACAATGACAGAGATTCTGTGGGTTTGTGAAGCTTCCAAAGACACAGTCGCAATCTAGAGAAGGGTGTGGGTTAGCTGAGAAGGTGGGCAGCAGCCACACAGCTCTCCACAGGAGGGTCCTGGGCTGGCGGGGAGGGAGCCTCTCTGATGTACACAGCTCCATGCTGAACACAGGTGCCACACTGAGAGAACTGGAACGAAACAGATGGCAGCCACCCTGAGAAAGGCAGCAGCAGGACCAAGGTGTAGGGCACAAGTAGACAAGTTGTGCAGACAGCCACAAGGCCCACTCTGTCAGTGCAGGACCATGCTAGCAGTCATTCAGCACAAACACAGCAGGTTGGAAAAAGAAGCTCCTGCTCCTTTCTTCTTCTTCTCTAAAGTGCAATACATTACGCCATTCCAGGTTAGTCTGTGCACAGCTACACCTGAAGGACATGCTTCAGGCTAAACAAGGATAGGAGCGGCCTGCAGTCTGTTACTGTGGATGAGGTAGGACACTCATGTGGACCAGAACAACTAGAAAAGAGAGGCAGACGGGTCTAAATCTCCTGCAAGTCATCAAAGAGCTATCAAGAAAATCAATAAGAAGCCAACAGGGCCAAAGCCTGTAATCCCAGCACTCTGGCAGGCTGAGGTAGGAGGATCACAAGTGCAAGCCCAGCTCGGGCAACATAAGGAGAACCTGCTTCAAAATAAAACTAACTCCTGATGCAGCTCCATGCAAAGGCCCTGGATCCAACACCCAGTACTGCCAAAAAAACAACCCAGATCTGGGAGAAGACAGAAGCCAGCAAGCCTGGCATTTCAGTTTGCTTCGACTTCAATCATCTGCCTTAGAGGATGTCCCACGGGAAAGGGATGAAAAAAAGGAGTCCAGGACCCATACAGGAGAGGACAATATTCTGGTGAACATACAGGCTCTAGTTTGGGATCTTGAAAGATTCACACCCCACCCCAAGAAAAACTAAGGGTGAAAAAAACCCAGCATCACAGGATGGAAGTTCTCCAAATCACTGCAATCCACGACAGGCTAGTGAGACCCAGGCTGCTCAACGGCCCAGCCTAGCTGTGCTAACAGGGTTCCGACTGTGCCCAAAATGGCAGATCAGAAAGAGGAGGAGAGAGAATTAGAATAGAAAGCAGGGAAACAAGAGAAGCGGTGCTTGGCAGTTGGGTAAGAATGCTGCACAAATTCAAGATGCTGGAAGATCCCTAGCAGCACAAATACAGAAATCCACATCTAGGAGCATCCCTGCAATGCTGTGAAACCCAAAGTCTAAGTCTTGTAAGCAATTAAGAGTCATCATATTTACAAAGCAACAAAAACAACGGAAGCCAGAAAACAACAAAAGGACACGTTTGAAAGCTTGATCAAAAATTCCAGCCAACCTAGAAATCCAACACAGCGAAAAAAAAAAAACCTGTTAAAATAAAGACATAGTTGTACCCAAAACTGTGTTAATTCCTCATCAGAAGTGCACATTAAATTAAATACCAGTAGGCATCCCACAAGCAGAAGGATAAACCACAGGAAAAAGATGCAGGAAGGATGGAAAGCAACACCAGAATAAACTACTTCACGGGAAATCTCACCACTGACTATATGAATAACAACAATGCCTGTGAAGCTTAAATCAGAGATGATCAGAGTCCACAACAGCGACTCAGAGAGTGGGAGGGAAACAAGCAGAATTAAAGTGGCTTTGGACCCTTAACCTGTCTGGAAAGTAGTATGTAACTACTAAGTTACATAAGAACTGAATGAGTAAACGATGCAGCTTCACATCTCCAGAGTAATCACAAAAACATTCTGACTTAAACGATAATGAAAGCATAACATATCTAAAGGGATGGGGTACAGTCATGTGCTGAATGGAATAAAGACAACTCTGAATGGGCCGTTAGAAAATCTAGGTAAGTCAAATATAACCAGATCAATTTGTTCTAAAACAGAACCACAGCCTATCCCTTCCCAGGTTTTTCCAAATATAATTTCTGCAATTTAAACTAACAAAGAAGTCACTCCCAAAAGAGTCTATGCAAGATACAATTACCTGTATGAAAACATTACATCTGTTAGTGAGGTCTTCAGCAAACTTGTCCATTCTCTGCTCCTTAGATAAAATTGATTCCATTTTCATCATCCATGAGCTCACAAAGACGTAGTAAGACTGCACATCTCTAGCAGGGAAAACACTGGTGTCACTCAGCACAGGAAAGAAATTCACTTCCATTTCTTCATACTGATTGCAAGAAAATATGTACTAACAGTACCCATTCCATTTTTCTGGTTTTTAAAAATCACATGTCATATTCAACAAATATTTATTGTGTGGCCATAGAGGACACTAAGAACAGAGAGAGCACTGTTCTAAGCTCTGAAAGCAAAATGTAAATGAAAATTATATTTTAGATAGTAGAGTTGTACGACGAAACAATCAATTTAAACTCTAAAATAATAAAAAAGATGTCAAATGAAACATGCTATAGAAAAAATAAAGCAGGGAATAGGACAGGGACTGGGCAGGTGCATAATTTCACATGAAGTGATGAAAGTAGACTTGCCAAGCAGACGATTTTGAGCCAGGATTGAAGCAAGTGAATGAGTGATCCATGCAAATGTGTGAGCGCAGAGAGCTGAAGGGAAGGGAGTACCAAGTGCCAACGTCAGAAGGCATCTGGAAATGCGCCTGGCACGTTTAGGTGATAACAAAAACGTCAGTGTGGAAAGGGCACAGGGAGCAGGGATGAGAGCCCAAGAGCCAGAGGCGCATGGTGGAGGAAGGGAAGGGTTGAGCAGGCCCTCTGGGGGGCAGGACGTCACTTCTGAGCCAGAGGGGAGGCTGACAGCAGGGCTGAGTAAGCGAAGGGACTAAGTTGGGTCTAGGAGGATGGGTCAGGAATAACCCACCGAAGGGGCAGTGCTTTTCCTGGGAAAGCAAGGAAGCTAGAGGAGCAGTGCAGGAGAAAGAGAAGGACAACCTAGCCAGAAGAGGCACAGCACTAGTGGTCAAATCTGAACTTGGAAGCCGACAGATACTGGATGCTTACTACCTGCCAACCTCTGTCAGCCTTGTTTACACAAATGAGCTTCTCCAATCCTCATGTCAGCTGTGAGAGGGTTCCACAGGGCAGCCCTGGGCCAAGATCACCCAAAAGCAAGAGGGCATGCCAGGATTCAAGTGCAACTTTAGAAAGCTTTCCCATCCCAGAAACACCATGGCAGTAATACTCCCCACTCCTCAGGATGACCAAAACCTGGACAACCTCCACAGGTGGCAAGCTTTCCCACTCACAAGCTGTTCACACAATCCCTCTGTTGCTCTTTGAAGAGTGTAAAACACCAGACAATTCACCCCTCCTATGGAATCTGACACCGCTGATACCTTCCAAACCCTTCTCCAGTTAGTCAGGGTCCTGTCCCACTGCTGTCGCTGAGAATCAGTGGAAGGAGGGCTCTCAGCGCCAGAAAAAGGGCGCCACCCAATAAGGTCAGACTCCCACAGGAAGTGGGGCCGGCCACTCCGCCAGTCTCCACCACTCGGTCTGAAGAGGGCTCACACCAAAGTCCCCAATAAATGTGTTCTAGGGAGATAAAACTAACATAAACTCTAGAAAAATGGTTTCTGCAGAGCAATGATTCAACGAAACAAAATACACCAGCTGTCAGTCTTGGCTTTGCCTCACATGGAGCTGGAGGGTACTACTGGTCCCAGTTTAAAGTGTGGATTAGAGAAGAAGTGGGGTCCTGGAACAAGACTTCCTCCAGAGCCAGCAGCTGGGGTCAGGGCTTGGCAGGGCTCAAAGGCCCAGGATGGGCTGTGGGCAAGGACCAGGAGAGCTCCCTGACAGCACTGAGGCCGCTAACACTGCGGCATGGAGGAGGCAATGGACAGGAGAAGGCAGCGCTGGCCTCTGACCAGACAGAGGAAAACAGACAGGCAGAGGAAAACAGGGCTACCGTTCACCCATCACTCGCACCCAGAGCCCTGTGACCTTTGTCTCTGGTTGTCTAGAAAACAAAACTGCTTCAAGTTTCAAGAGTGAGCATGCTGGCAAAAGTCACGAAGATGGCCAAGAGTCCTGTCAGATTACCAGCTGCACTTCAAATACAAACAGGAAAACAACTAGAACAACCAACAAATCTCCAGCCCTGATCAACAGCACTGAGCAGTGGGCACACGGGAGGCTCAGGTTTTTACCCCCTGGCCAATGGCTGTGGATGGCAGCAGCTGCGGCAGCCCAGACACCGTAGCAGGGAAGGAGGTGGCTGGGGTGCGGCCCTGGGTCCAGGTGTGTGCTGGGCCAGAGAGCCTCCCTCCAGCTCCGCCACGAAAGGGCCCTGTGCTCTGAGCTGCTGGGAGGAGGCTACTGCCAGTCACTGTGCCTTCTCTATGCTTTACTTTAGTGGATGAGCCTTAGGTCTCCTAGGCTAAACTACACAGAGAGAGCAAACACTCCACAACCCCGCTCCCTGGAGCTCTGCGGTGACTGCACAGGTTCATCTCTGGAGTCACAGGACGGGGAAACAAAACTTCACCACCTGAGGAACCTGCAAGTGAGCTCATCCATCTGCACTTCAAGACTCACCTCCCACGGCCTGTGGGGCTGGTGGTCTACACTTCGCACACAGGCCTGGCAGCAGGCAGCGGCATCTCGCCGTGGCCTACATGCACCCCGTGGCCGACACCCAAGAATACAATCAACACAGCATTAAGCTTGACTTTCCTTACTTAAAAATGGGAAACCTAGGTGTGGTGGAGCGCTCCTGTAGCCCAGCACCAGGGAGGCTGCCAGGAGTCCCAGGCCAGCCTGGGCTACATAGTTAAATTCAAGGCTGACCTGAACCTGACGGTAGTAAGTGTTCTTTTGGGGAGCAGGACTGAGGTGTAGGGAGAAATAGGGCTGGGAACAATTTTTTCCCTTTAACCTTTAGTACTTTCTAATTTTGTAAGTATGTGCAAATGTTACTTTGTAAAAATTAACCTGGGAGGGGATCAAGTTAAAGCGAACTCCTCCAAAAATCATCAGAGATACTCAATGTTTTTAATACCATCAAATAGTATCTGCTGCAAATGAATCAAGACTTCATTTAGATTAAAAAAATAAAAAAGGCAGCTGACACTGACAGTATGTGTGGCTACAAAGTACAATTTGCCCACATCTTAAACTGGTATTAAGCCAAAAAGTTCCTAGAAAATAAAGCCCCCAGAGACTGACAATCTTCCTCTAGTAATAAGTAATTCTACTTCAACTCATAATTCAAATGCCTTCAATATAAAACATTTGTTTTCATGGCAGTTGCTTATAAAACCTACTTGGTAAGTGACTGAGCTTTCTGCTGCAGGAAAGTTTCCCTGTGTATTTTAATGGCTTGGAGACTTTTTCTGTCTAGAAGTTTGGCGGCTGCTGGCATTTTCTGGATCAGAAAATTATCAGGAAACCATATAATATTAGCAGTTAGAGTGATGGCTGGAACCTAAAACATAAAGGCAAGGGAGAAATTCATTAAATACAGGCTAAGACAACTCATTTCAGGAAAAAATAACCACGTGCACACACAAAGACTTTTTACTGATGTATGCTGCAGCAGTGAAAGTATTTCAGTACTATGAGTGTTGAGTATGATCTTTTTCTGCCTAAATATTAACATGCACGTGGATATATAATAAATATTTTTCACAGATTTAACAACAAAAACAAGCAAAAAGTAGACACCTGAATCATCGTAACCTTACTTTCATTCTGTATCAGTAAAAAGAAAAAAAAACAGAGGGCTAGGGATTTAGCTCAGTGGTTCTAGCACCTGCCCCACAAGCACAAAGGCCCAAGTTCAATCCCTGGTACCAAAAAAAAGGAGGAAAACAAACCACACATAGATGGTTGGGTTCTCACAGACTCTCCTCAGTTGATGCTACACAAACTAAATGTTCAATTTTAAAAACAGGTTCCATACACTGGCAAAAGCAAAGATGCAGAAAAACTAAATTTTTTTTTGTTGTTGTTGTTTGTATTTCAACAGTGAGAATGACTGCCAAGAGGGGAGGGAAAAAGCAAAACGGGGAAAATGTATCTGTAGTAGAAACCAAATAAAAAGGAAAAATGTGAACAATGTCTACCAATACACATACGCAAATGAGGTAGAATTAGAGAGTAAAGATGAGGAGGAGCAGCTCCATTGAATCCAGGCTAAGACAACTCATTTCAAGAAAAGACAGCCACACACTGAAAAATCTTACAGCAAAATAAGACTGCTGTACCTCCATTCACTATGTTACATATTTCTGGCAAGCCTGGATTCCACAAGAGTACTATATCAAGAATAAAATGCATTTTAAAAATCTATTCCTATACCAAATCTTTTTAGTATGCTCAAATTGAAAAACAGAAGTTGATAATTCTTACCTTCTTACAGATGTCCAATAAAGACTTATAAAACTTTTTATCAACAGTTCGAAAAATCTGGAAGTGCAGCACAAAGAGCCCACAGATTCCAACATACTTGTCCCTCTGGTCAATTTCCGAAGGTTCTCCTTATAAACAGCAACAAAAGAGAAAAGTAGAACCAAGATACTTAAGTTACACTTTTTAAGAAATGCAAATTTTATAAAAAAACCCAAAACTGCAATTTACATTACCAAGTTTGGCTTCCACATTTGCAAAAATTGAGCGAAGACTATGTGCAAATTCTTCAGCAAAAGTGCTATTTTTGGACACAGATACTCCTCCATTGAGAGAATCAAACTGCTGTTCTATACAGGCCTACATGGGAAACAGTAAAGAGAAAGTCAGTCTCGATACGCTATCAAGCTTTGACGTGGTGTGTGATGAACTTGGATGTCAGTTAATTTACTAAAACCAAAGCTTAGGTTCTTACTTTAACCTACTGTCTACATCTTTTTGATTGGAAAGAATGTATATACTTCCATATCTGAGTATGAGCTACGTGAAAGTCATACTGCTGGACAGACCCCTGTAACAGCAAAGAGGCACATATAGATCGTGGCCACAGAAATGTAAGGTTCAGATCCACACAAATAGAGAGCTACTACGTAATAATTTTCAAAAGATGAAAGTAAATTTATTATAAGCTGGGTGTGGTGGTGCAAGCCTGCAGCCGAGCCTTGGGAAGCTGAGGCAGGAGGATCGCTATGAGTTCAAGGCTAGCCTGGGCTACGAACTGAGATTCTATCCATCCCACCAAAAAAAAAACAAAGTTTATTATGTAAAAGTACAACAGATATGAAGACAGTCAAATAATATATTCCCACATGATGAGGCTGAGGACAGCACCAAAGACGGAGGATCTTATATCAGATGGAGCCTTTGGAGAAAATGCCATACTGTATCCAGTTGGCCAGTTTGTTAAGTACCATGTTTAGATGAAAGTGACTTGGTGCCAATAGGTCTGTGTGGCTGGAAGGGACTGTGACCAGCTCTGCCTAGACTAAAGGACACACACACCGATGGTGCACTCAAGGTATAGACTAATATTTTTTTTCCAAGGGAAATGGTTTCTTCTGTGAGGAATGGAAAGCAGCTGAGTTCATTCAGTGAGCACCTGTATTTTGCTGGCTCTAATTATTTTAACCCTTTTCCTGACAACCCCAGATGTCTCAAGTGAGTGAAGAGAAGTGACTTTCAGAGGTGCATACAAGACATTTCTGGTAGTGCACTGGAAAGCATACTTTTCACTTTATTTTATACTTTTTAAGAGTGGAGTGTATATTTTCTGTTTACAATTACTGTGCGCACTTCAGCATAGCAAATGTGGAAATGTCTCTTGGGAAAAGAGTAACAAAAATTATTTTCTGAATCTAATGGACTAACAATTAAACAGGCAAAAATGAGCGGTCAATCTATTAAAACTGTGACTGTGTAAAATATAAATTAAATGCAATCCTGATGCGGATGTAAAATGGGATGGAATGTAATTTCTGGGGGACACTAGCCAAGGTGGTCCTGTCTAACAAATCTTTCCCTGACAGTGGAAATGTTCTGCTTCGTGCTGATGGAAGAGATGGCCAGCCACAAACGACACATGGCTATTTAGCACCTCAAACGCAGCTCCTATGACCAAGCAAGTCACTTTTTAATCTGATGTCAGTTAATGTGAAATAGCCACATGCAGTTCAAAGTATTCTACTGGACTGTACAGACTGAAATTATATTCCATGAGCCTTGGAAGAATTTAGCAGACTCTTTTAAAGGTAGACTCACAAACCTAACCACAACACTTAACACAAAAGCTTCAGTTTTAGATTTTAATTCTCCAATAGTTTTATCCTTGTACATATTTCCAAAAACCTTCATCCCAAGTACACCCTGTCACTGTCTGCTACTTCATACTCCAATAATCAATAAGCCACAGCACTCTTTGAAGGAAAACAAATTTGGCGGTGTTCTATGAAAGCATCTGTCACCTCAGAGCAGCCAGCTGAGCCAAGTACATCTGCAGCAGCAGCCCAGCCCCCTACCTGGAATATCGTTCCATCAAGCAACTGTCCTTCCAGCCGCAGGAGAAACTTTTCAAATGGCTTCAGTTTCTCTTCCTGAAGTCCAAATTTTGAAGGGTTGTGATGGACAGATTTCATTAACCTTGTAAAAGATTATAAGAAAGCTCTTAAATCTACCCAATTGATTCTTAAAAACTAGAAAATTTCTCACTATATAGCCCAGGCTAGCCTCAAACTTTCAGCAATTCTCCTGCCTCAGCCTCCCAAATGCTGGAATACAAACACGCACCACCACACCTGGCTCTGAGCAAAACAATCTTAATATATTTAATCTTCTTGTGCTTTCTTTTTCCCATCTTAAATTCAGATAATTGATACCAGGTGTTAGGTGAATATAAACAGAAAACGTGAAAGTTCTATAGCAAAATGAAACCAAGCTCAGACAAGCTGTTAAACAAAACACAAGAGAAAACAAAATGCCCTAAGGTGGGCAAATTAACATCCTACTGCACTACACACAAGGCTGCTTTGTACAGTCATATCTTTCTCTCAAACCCACCTCAAACTAAAGAATGGTGCTATCTTCACAAAAATATCTGACCTGACCTCCTGCTAAGTAAAGATCTCCAGCTCTCTGGTCTTCTAGGAGATCTGAACTACTTGTATCTGTCTACTCTTCACTCACACATCATTCACACAAAGTAAGGAAGACTGTAACGTTCTAGCTGGCACACCTTTTGTACATGGTCCAGTGGTCTTTCAGAGTGATGTGATTCTCCACGATCTCGTCCAGGGTAAGCAAAACTGTGAGCAGTTCTCCCAGATGCTCATACATAGTCTGTCAAAAAACTTTTAATGATTATCATTTAGTCACTAGTCAGAAGTTAAGGCTCATGTAGGATTTTAAAGCAAAACACATATACAGAAATTACTGAGTTAGTGAAAGCAGGGGTAAAACAGTTTAAGGTACAGGTCTGATAAAGGGGACGATAGTCTTTGTGCCAGAGACTGAAAACTGCAGTAGGCTGCTTCGGGGAAAACAGTTACCCTGACACCAGTCTCGGTACCCATGAGCTACAGGCAAAAGACTGAAAATGGAAAACAAAAAGCAAGCAACTCTATCTTGCTACAGCTGTTGTACTTTCCAATTATGCAAACTCTGCAAGTGTGACACAGTAAAAATTAGTTTTATATGTCAAGTTAATTTACTTTTACCTGAAAATGAACTCCAGTTGTCTCTATGATTTTGGGTGCAACCCTGTAATAAAATAACATCCAAATTAAGATTTCATTTTCAGGTGTGATTCAGAAAAGGAAGAAAAGGGCCAAAAAGACCCAAAGGGATTAAAGATATTTAAGGAAATCAGAAATGCATTTATTTAAAAAAATTACAGAAGAAATAAATGATGCTTCTGCGAATGAATGGAAAAAAGAAGAAACATTGGTTTGTAAAACTGCAGAGGACCAGAAAACCAAGGAAAACAAGTACTCATATAAAGAAAGGAGAACTACCAGAGAGGAAACTGACACTTGGGCACACAGTGTTGCAGAAGACAAGCAGGAGGATTTGCACAGCGTGTGGCCAACAGATGAAGGTTTCGGTGAGTTTGTTTGATGCTGTTTTGCAGAATGCTTTTAGAGTAGTGCACCATATTGATTATTCTTATCTACCACTGTCATTCTGATCAGAAAATAACATTTTATTTGGATTTCCCGAATAAAAACTTTATAGTGGAAAAAATTTTTTTCCTTTTCAGCCACACTTCATTCTTATCTCAAGGAATATGCACAGGAGCAGTAGCTCTTGGAATTCTGATGAATACCTGTAAATAAAGCTGACTCACTACAACTCAAGAGACCTCAATAAGCAGTCCCAGGTCCCATCTTCCCCAGGAACTGACGGGTGCAACCCAGGCTGCACCAACTCCTGAGTGGAAAGACACATGGCCTGGAAATAACCAGTCAGCCTCATTTCTGAGTTCTCATTCCTATGAAAATGATGCCTGTATTTCTGGGAGTATAACAATGTCGAAAGCCAAAAAATACAATTTTACTTCCTTCTAGATATTTAACACAGCACTTGTGCAGCAATTACAGATATTCTAGGAGAGAAAAGACACAATTTAAAACCACACAGAAAATTCAGATAAACCCTATCCTCTAGGGCACACAAGGGGTTGTAGAGACTTTTCAGAACCACACAGCAGGTACCACGGAGCCAGGGAGCTAGTGCTCACCTCTCCCGCCATGAGGACAGATTTTGTGTCAGCTTTTGCCTGTATGTCACAGTCAAGACTTTTTGGTCAACATTCTCTTTCAGACAGAAAATACCTTCATGCATCATGGCGCCTTATTAATCTATGTAATGTATAATCCAGTAGGACTTAAACATCACAAGTCTTCAACAAATAAATGGAGTGAACAAAAAGGTATTTCAGAGAATTAGCAGGAAAATATTTCTCGCATCTCTATTATAAGCAAAAATCCTTGTAAATGCATTACTTGTTACTGATATAGAGGGCAGCCAGCTGATGGACTACATTCATCACCACTTCGTAGCACCTCGTGACGAAACAGGACAGCTCCTGAAAAGACAAGTGCGGGACATGCTACAAAGCTGCTTTTGAAATGTCACTACTTTTAAACTGAATTTCATGGTAACATATCCAACAAAAACAAGATTGGTTCCCAGTAAAATCTCAAATCGCTCAGCAGCCAACTTAAGCATCCCTCAAGCACTTCACCCTTACCTCCCCTCCGGCATCCCAGGGTTGCTCCAACCTCTGCCCGTTCCGTTTCCTCCATAATTCCACTTTAAGTCTATTGTCTCAGCTATGCAGATAGCTTCTAAGCGACAGCGATTGTCTTGTTCTTTTGGAACATTCACTGTCTACTATGGTGGCTAATATTTAACTGCTTCTCAATAAATGTATGCCTCACTGTATGAATAAGCGAGTAACATCTGCAAGAATGAGGGAGCTTCAAAGGCTGCCAGCTCAGCGAGTGTGCTGATGAGGGGAGGTCTCCAGAGCGCACTCTGAAATCCTTCATTCATTACTGTAGTCAAGTTTATAAGTGGGCTCAGAACACAACAAGGAAGTATCGATTATCCCAGGGATATGTTTGTCCTTAAATAATAATTAAGTCACATCTTATGCCCCAGACCTTCTGGAAATGTTTGTAGAAGCTCTCACATTTTAATCCTATAGGAACAGTTTGTACCTAAAATATTTAAAACCCGATTAAGCTATGACTACTCTAAATTTTCAGCTCTAGGAAGGCAGGAGTTTCTGTAACACCAAGAGCAGTTTCTTTTAACTTTTAGGGCCAGGGATTTAGCCCAGTGGTTCCACCACCTGCTTTGCAAGTGCAAGGTCCCAAGTTTGATCCCCAGGACCCAAAAAAAGAACTTTTACACAACTGTTAGTATAACCCATAACCGATTTAAAGTTTTTGAAAATAGAAAGAATGAATTTTAAACAGCTCTAGTTTCATGTTTGTTATCAGAGTTCCAACAGTTCAGTGAAAGCAGAGACAAGAAAGGAAAATGCAGGACAAATGGAGAACACAAAGTTATTAAAAGGAAGCCCAGATGTATAGAGCGACTACAGAAGACAGAAAGAGTGAATAACCCATTAAGCCAGACATGCCAGGTGGTTTAAAAAATAAAAAGCAAAATCCAGACACAGCCACCTGTATCTGACCAACAGGGACACTCTGGGAGAGCCATCAGCATGAGGGCACCGGCACAGTCAGCACAGCCCTGACATCCCCAGGGATACTCTCTCATGGAACACTTGTCACAAATGGGTGCCTCGCTGACCAACACAGTTATACAGCACAGGGCTCTATGTGCAGTTTTAAGGAAATGCCCACTGGAACATGACACTGAAGTCTGAAAGGATGGAAAAAGATAATTCAAAATATCAACTAACACAGATGTACACCAGGAACACTGCCATCAGATATATAGATTTTATTAGCATCACTATAGCTATTTCCTAAAAAGAGGACCTCATCCAAAATGCTTCAAACCAGAATGTTCAAATTTCAGATATTTTTGGATTTGGGAACATTTACATATACATGAGATAATCTGGGAAGAGAACCAAGAAAATCATCTATGTTTGTGTACACTGTACACACATGGCCTGTGAATAGATGTGTACATTATTTTTATTAATTTCAGGTGTGGAATTTTCTACCTATGTTAGTATAGACAGCTAAGCTAAACAGAAATATTCTAGGCAGTCAGATAGGGCTGGGCCCTTGAGGTAGTCAGCGCAAGCAGGAGAACACATCACAACTGCGGTTGGCATCTGTCGAAAGCCAGGTGTCAAGATAAAGAAAGAATGAGCAGGCCTACGTGCCTCCCTGAGGGAGGAGCAATTACCTGAAGATTAGACTATAATTGGTATCACCTGGTCCAATAAAGTCTACACAGACGTAAGTCACCCAGGTGGGTGACCAGGACCTCCGGACCCAACTCTTCCTAAAAATGCCTTTGTTCTTTCCATGTACCCTTGCAAATGTGACCTGCTTCCCTACTGGATCAGTATTAGCTAAGTAGCTACACTTATAATCTTACTGGCTGATCATAGTTTGGACCCATGTTGCACCCTCCTCGTGATTTTGCTCTATAAAACATTCTCAGAGAAGTGAGCTCTGTAATAACCCACTTTTGAGTCCCTTCCTGTCTCTCGGGGCTATTTCTCAATAATTTTTTCCTATTTTTCTTTTTGTGTGTGTGGTACTGGGGATCCAACTCGGGACCTTGCACTTGTGAGGCAGGCAACAGCACCACTGCCCAGCCCTAAATTTTTCCTATTCTTTTTTTTTTTTTTTTTTTTTTTTTTTTTTTTTCTATTTTTATCTTCCACTGTTCCTTAGAATTCATTCTTCAATATCAGGAAACATGAACTCTGTGAATCTGATATCTAGCCAGTTAGGAGTTACATTTTCCGCTACACCAGCATCATGTCAGTGCTTAAAAGGATTCAGATTCGGAAGCACTTCAGATTCTGGATTTTTGGATTAGTAATTCTCAAACTCTATAAATGTTATAGATTTTTAAATATTTTTTATATATAATTATTATCACAGCTTAGAGTTGTCAACATATAAAAATAAAGATTTACCAAGAATCATTAGCAATTCTAAACTTGTATGCACTGAATAAGAAATGCAAAATCTGATAAAACTAAGAGGAAAAATGGACCCAGCCCCTTGGAAGGGACTCTACAAACCACACTACTTAGACACCTTCCTGGCCAGCAGACTTCCGGCTAGGTTCAGTCAATAGGAGCAGGAAACAGGACTTCCTTCCACTTGTCTTTATTACAAAGGCTATAAGAGATCAGCTTCTTTCAGGCTCCAACCCTGACCTCACACCACCCTCCATGGGTGTCAGGGGCCATGCTCAGAGGCCTGAGCTCCAACTCCATGAGCTGCTCCACTGAGTGCCCAGATTCTGGCCAACCTAACTGCTTCTCCTTTTGTTCCCTGGACTTGGGCTTCCTCTGGATTACCTCACTGTCGTTCTTTCAGCCTCTAACTCCTGTGTAACCAACTCTCCATACTAAATACCCTCTTTAAAAACAAATCAGTATTACTATATACATATGAGGTACCTAACATGTTATGGGATACATGAAGGAAACAGGTTACTGGGCCAGGGATTTAGCTCAGTGGTTCTTCAACCCGTCTCACGAGAGCAAAGTATGGAGTTCGATCCCAGGTACCAAAAAAAAAAAAAAA